CCGGCAAAGTCCTTTACCGGCTGCAGGAGCGGAGGAAAGGCCAGGAGATGGGTCTGCAGGAGAGACGGGCTCGCCCTGCCCACGCGTGGATTTTCCCCTTCCAGCTGCGCCAGCAGATGGTTTCCTGCTGGACCTTCCCAGGGCTCCAGTGGAACCACCTTCCCTGACAGCGTCCCCTTCCAGCGGCAGGTGCTTTGTCACTCTCGCTGTGCTATCAGGGAAACCCGGCCCACTCGCAGCCATGCCAGGCTATTAATAACCAGCCGGGCTGCGGAGGAGCGAGGAATTAACTGGAGAGGACTGGGAGCTGGATCTCTCCCTCCTACCCAGGCTGCTGCACTCCAGCACTGATCAGGATGTGGATTTAGCTGACCCAGAGCAACACATTCCCGCTGGCTGGGAGGGAAAGATTTAGCAGTTTAAACAGCCACTGGCACAGCCCAACCTCAGCATCTCCTGTGAAGAGTGTGCTGAAAAAAACCCACAGTATTTGTCTACTGTAAAGTAAAAATGAGACTGTTTCCTGAGACTTGTGAGCCCCAGTACTCCCAGCTCCCCAGAGGAGCCGTTTATTCCTTCCTATGCAGAGTTTCTGTGCTGCTAGGTCAGGGCAGGGTCTGGGCTCTCTCTGCCTGCCCTGTGCAGCTTTACTGCCTTCAATCAAAGCTCGTATGACTGCACCAGATTCCTAAGAAGTTATCCAGCACTCTCTATATTCCCATCTTCCCTGGCTTTGAGCTACTCAACAACCTTTCTTTAAAGGTCCTCATGTGCTCATATCCCCTTTCCTGCTCCCTCACCCCTCGTCGAAGCTGCTGCCTCATTTCCTGCCCTGCTTTGCACCCACTGCTCACCCGGGCCTCCCCGTTGGGGCTTGGCTCTGATTAAAGTGTTCCCCAACAAAAATGTCCCTGCTCCCCCATCGTGGCTGCTGCAACTACGAGGGAGTGAGAGCCAGAAGCAGCTCAGACCTGAAGTTCTTTCCACTGGCAGCCTCAGTTTTATCTACACATATTCAGGGAGATATATAATCTGGGTTAGCAGGTGTGTGTGTGGTTCTTCGTTACACCTCGTGTCAGTGGCCGGGGTAACCCAAAGCATCGCACCATCAGCTGTACTCACCCCTGAACTCCTGTACAAGGAGCTGCCAGCACTGAGCTGCCCAGGCAAGCTGCTCTGCTCTGCTCTGAGCTGTTTTTCCTCTGCCCCAGGACCTGTGCCCCCTTCCCCACCAGATGTGCCCTGTGCCTCGGGGGA